ATAAACCCCTGTCACTGTATTTCTGAATAATTTATTGTGTGTTTATGACTTTAAATAAATATTATCAACCCAAGTATTTTGATGAATCTTCAAGGCCAAGTTTAGTTAGACATTTATTATTATACTTTTTAAAACCAAATTTAAATAAATTTTGAATATAACCAACCAAGTCCTTCAAACGAGCCATCCCCAGTGATACCACAGCATTCTTGGCACATCCATTCGTGTCCTACTATTGATTGAAGTTCCATTTTATCAATGATTTCTTGTTTAGTCAAAGCATTTGGTAAATCGGTTTTATTTAAATAGAAGAGAATTGGTACATTAAAAAGTTCTTCATCATTACAAAATTGATGAACAAATTCTTTTGCCTCATTAATGCGTTCCTGGTCGTTTGTGTCTATCACGTATATTATAGCTTGTGTTCTACTATAATATTGGCGTGTCATTGGTCTTAAACATGAACCCCCATTAATATCCCATACATTAAAAACAATTCTTTTGTACTGGACATCCTCAACATTAAATCCCATAGTTGGTATTGTATTAACATATTTGTAATATTTGAGATGGTACAATATTGTCGTTTTTCCAGCAGCGTCAAGACCGATCATTAAGACCCAAACACGTTTGTTTTTGCCAAAACAGTTACCCATATTATATGTTATTGAGCTTGGATTTATATATCAATAAAAAAGAATATAAATTCTATGTGACACAATTAAAAACGGAAAAACTTTATACTTTGTCTTTATATAGTTTTTTTTACTATTTGATATAATATGCAAATTAAATTTATAGGAAATAGAAATTTTGGTAATTATTTGGTCTTGTTCCAGAAATCAAAAAATGCCGATTATTTACTTCGGATCAGTGGAAATCGAGTGAGACGGAGACAGGGAATTGAAAAAAGGCTAATAATGTCGCACTCAAACAGTCTGTTTGTGCAGACTGTTTGTATGATAATCTACAAGTAAACAGGGGAACCACATCCTCGTCCACACAGTACGGACAAGTAAAGTGGATGACATGGGACAAACATACAATGGCTGTATAGTAGACTTTGGTAAAAAAACATCAGCGGCAAATACTTTATTTTGGTTAAGGTAAAAAAGCTGGTCCTATTAAAAACACTTGTTCTGGATAAAACTATATAAAATAATAATTTGTATTTATAATCAATAATACAAAAATCATGAAAATTTACATAAAATAAGTGTTTTAACCAAAGATTTCCAAAATCCCAATCCTAATTACCCACGTCACCATTTAATAACCAAAATGTAAATTTCTTATAAATTCGTACGTTATAATACCACATTTTCGGCAATAATTATTTTGGAAATGCTTGGTTTAACAATTTGAAGTGTTTTTAATATTATAAAGTTAATTTAATATAATTGTTTAGGTTTAAGTTTGATGTAACTTTATCTTCAACAGATAAGTGCCCTTCAAAACATATAACTTCTCTATTCAAAACCGATTGTTTTACTCCATGTGTTCTTTATATTCTAATTTAAAAAAACACAACATTTGTATAAAAATTGAAATTTTTTGTTCAACTAAAAAGCAGATTACTATATGGGGTGTTACAATACAAGATTAGACCCAGCCAATCTCTTTAATGTTGTTAATAAGGGAATATCCATCGTCACACATCTCACACCCATAATTACATAAATTACCAATAATGGCACATTTTTGTAAGTGTGTTGTCTTCTCACATAAATACGTCTCATAAACAAAATAATTGGAAGAGCACTTTAAACACTCCAAATCACTCAAACACTTCGAAAAAAACTGGAACACGAAAGACGTGATCCATTCAAAAAAGTGGTCTGTTTCACAAACAACACAATGACTTATGTCTTTCATTAAAGCTATTGAGCAGTGTGGGGACTCGTTAATTAAAGTAAACTATATTATTTAACAATACAAATAAAAAAAGTATTATAAAATGTAATTAAAACAATTAATATAAATTAATATAAATTATTAAAATAATTATTAATTGTTTATTAATAATACAATACTATATAATAATGTAATCCCATAATTTATAATTTCAAATATAACTAAATTTATAAACATTACTTATTCAAATATCAAAGAGATGAAGTCTTTATAGTAAACCTGAATATTTATATGACGATGGTTGTCACGTATAGATTGAGCTTTTTATAAATCATTGACCATTTTATAATATAAAAATATTTTTTTATTCTATTGACCAATTGATAAAATAACCAACCAAAAACATAATTATAAGAATACAATAAATAGAATTAAACTTCCACAAGTTGTAAATAACTTTGTTGTGTTGGTATTTCGATATTAAGCACTTTGACAAAAACTGAAGTAATTGACACAGTCACTACAGCCAAGAATGACAATCCAAAAACAAGAAAAGAACATACAATTAAAGAGAAGATGGCATGGTTTTCTTTTTCTTTCCGAGTCGATAATGCAACTATTACACAACTCAAACATTTGAAATGAAAACACAAACTGTTGTTCACATTGACACATCAAGTACATATAGTGTTGGTCAATTGTTGTATCGATACAGCATTCGTTCTATACATTAATTTAAATTAGTATAATATATATACTATATTATTATTTATATTATTTACTCAAAAAACTGTCTTTTCAAATTGTCTTTATCTACTGTTTTGAATTGAAAGTTAAAGTTTCATAAATTGAGCAAAGCATCAAAACGAAAAAAAAATGCATTTAATTAAAAGAATACAACAATGGCAATATTGAGAACATAGATCATCTATATTTGCTAATAAATTTCTCTTTTTGTAAATAAAGAGCCCCAATGAAGACTCAGACCACATTAATCTAACACCCACAAATAATAACAAGAACTAATTTACAAAAAACTTCACAAAGCAATTTATTTCGTGATGGTGACACTACTGTCGTTGAATATTTCGTCAAATAACAGCCAAACCCGACTTTTCCAAAGAAACATATCTCGTTGTCATATTACAGAAGACAATATGAGTTGGTTCTATTGTTAAATAATAAAATACTAACAAACTGCTATAACCACACTAAAACAACATATAACTCACTGGCGATCAAACGAAATGTTGAACCATGAAATCATCGTTGTACGTATGAAGAGCGATTTGGAGTGTTGTTTTGAATTAATGTGTTTACTTTCTATAGTAATACATATTACTATAGTAATACTATAATGATACAATAATAATACTATAATAATACTATAATAATACTATATTACTATAGTATTCTAGTTCATAATAAGCACATTTACAAGAGAAAAGAACAAAAATGAAATAAAAATAGAACATATAGGTATAATAATTTATAATATATTTTCCCTGCTGTTTAAGGTAAGTTTGTCTAATTATAAGAAACTATTTTGTAACTAGAAATATGTTTCTGTAGAAAGTATTTTTACATAATGTCTTTTTGTAGTTTAGTTATTAGTATTTAGTTTGTTCATTCATTAAATTATAATAAAACTAAAAAATATTTAAAATAAAAATAAAATGGAAAAGAGTAATTTATTAACTTTGATAATTAAAGCATTATTATAACTAAACCATCTATGATAGTTTATATATCGTATATTTTACAATCAAATTGTATCATTTTTGACAAAATGACAAATTCGTTTTGTCAAACTATTGCTAATCGTTTTGGTTACTAAAATTGATTTATTTTTGATTCGGAGATATAACTTTCTCAAATATAAACTTATGGACTTTGTGAATCTGGTTGGTATAATTAAAAGACAAAAAGTATAAAAATAATTAAAAACGTAAATAAATAACTTCTTATTGATTTTTTATAATTGTTATTTATTTTTGAATAAATAATAATTAGGTTTTTCCTATATAAAACTGTTTTTGTTTTTTTACCACTTTATATAGTATAAATTATTAAATTATAAATAAATAATAAAGTGTATATTTAGTAGTACGGTTTACTAGTAAAGTCAACTTGTGGGTTTTAAAGGAACCAATGCGACTCATTGGAAGAGTTTTAATATTAAAAAGCGCACGAAAACGTTACAAATCGAAACGAACAGTGAATTTGTGTTGAGTGAAAATGTGACTCTTCCAACAACACAAATTGTTTTTATTGGAAATTTCGTGTTTTCAAATTTGACACTCGAAAAGACAGAAAGTGGGTGTTCACATCATTTGGGCAATTTTAGTGCGAGTCCAACACCATTAATTGGATTTGATGACAACGACATTTTGTTTTTGGTTGGTTATTTTATCAATTGGTCAATAGAATAAAAAAATATTTTTATATTATAAAATGGTCAATGATTTATAAAAAGCTCAATCTATACGTGACAACCATCGTCATATAAATATTCAGGTTTACTATAAAGACTTCATCTCTTTGATATTTGAATAAGTAATGTTTATAAATTTAGTTATATTTGAAATTATAAATTATGGGATTACATTATTATATAGTATTGTATTATTAATAAACAATTAATAATTATTTTAATAATTTATATTAATTTATATTAATTGTTTTAATTACATTTTATGATACTTTTAATTTGTATTGTTAGAAAATATAGTTTACTTATTATAGTGCATTATTATTTTTTTTATTTTAGAAGCAAATAAAAGGAAGTTGATTGAGTTAAGAAACAGAACAACTAAAGACAAGAAAAAATAGTAGATTTGGAACAACAATTGCAAGACCTTGAAGAAATGATGGGACTTCAAAGATCGACCAAACAGAGGTCATCAGGAGAGACAACCAAATTGTTGATTTGGAGAAGGCGTTCGCTGCGTTGAAAGATAAAAACATACAACTTGATGCTGCTTATTAAGATATGAAAAAGCAATCAGCCGAAGACACTTTGAAGATTAAGAATTATGAATCACAAATTAAGGCACTTGAAGCACAAAAGTAGAAGGCTTTGGACGACAAAACTAATGATGAGAAAACTGCTTCAACTTCTCAACTAATCTGATAGAAGAAAGAATATGGAAGACCAAGTCAAAGCACTCAATGCACAAGTTTCATTACTTAAATTCCAAGTCAGTGCACCAGCTTCTGTTGCTCAAGAAGAAGAGAAGAACATGTTGAATGCAAGATTTGCTGAAATTCAAGCCCAACCCGATGAAGAAAGACAGAATGCTGACAGTGCAGATGCTGCTCGAAAGGCTGCTGATATCAAATTACAGGAAGTCTAGTTCAACTTAGATGAAGCAAATAACACCAAAGAAAAATTGACTAAAAAGCGAATGACTTGACTGTCCAAGTTGATCAACTCACAGACGAGAAGAAGAAGAATAAGGATTTGGAGGAAATGGACAAGATGATCAACGACTTGAATGCTGAAGTCGACATGGCACACAAACAACTTGACACTGCAAATGATGACAAAGATGGCAATAAAGCGATGAAACAGAAATACCAAGACGAACTGAAGAGCGTTAGAACTGAACTTGATCAAGAAAAGAAAGACCATTCCAAGACCCAATTGATTAAAGGAAAGTACGAGAAAGATATCGCTGAAATCACAGTCAAAGCTGAAACCCTTGAGAAGAACGTCCAGATGGCTGAACAAGAGTATGTCAAGACTATGAGAGATTATAAAACTGCTTCAGAAGAATTGATGAGAACAAAGACAGTACTCGATGAGAAACAAAACGAATGCGACAAACTTGAAGACGATATGTCCAAGATGAAGACTGAATTGGAAGCCCTTGAACAAGCTGCTAAGACTTATAAACAGTCGAAGAACACTTATGAGAAGAAGTTGACTGAACTGAATGAGCAACTTGGTCTTGAAAAAACAATGCTCAACAGGCTAAAGCACAAAAGAAGAAATATGCAGACAAACTCAGAGAAGTGATGGAAAACGAAAATGAATTCGGTGAATATAAGGAACAAGCCGAGAATTCCATTAAATTGTTAGTTGCTCAAAAGGCTGATTTACAGAAGGAACTTGAGAAAGAGAGAACAATAAAACAAAACTCTGATAAAGAAACTCAAAAACTTGGAACTAAAGTCACTGATTTCGAAGCAAAATTTACAAAAGTTGCTGCTTTATTTGCGTTAATTGAAAACAAAATGCGAAACAGAATTGGAAGAAATTGAAACAGAGAAAAAAGTACAGAACGTTATAGCTAACTCCGAGAAACCATAGAAATAGTATGCCAGTAAGATTGAAGAAGTGAAGAGATAGCTAGCATAGTTATCTCTTAATGTGTGAATTGTTTTAATGATACTATGTGTATTTCATGTCACTCTGGATTTTATTTGACAAGTGAATGTACGTGTAAAGAAGTTGATTCATTACATGAGACATGTGATATGTTAATGCCAGATGCTATTGGCTGTGCCATTTGTAAAGTTGGGTATTACTACATTTTAAAAGATTGTAACAATGTGACACATCATGCTATCTCTGTTTAGACCAAAAACAATGTGTGTCGTGTGCAGACAATTACTTCAGAATAGCAAATGAAACAAAGTTATGTCTTCTATTTGATGAACTGACTCAATTTTGTCTTAAAAAGACCAAAAAATGGGTGCGCTAGTTGTCAAACGGGGGTATTTCCTCTCAAACGGTCGATGCTCAAAGTGTTTCGAAACTTGTATAAAGTGCACTTCAATGAAGTATTGTTCCGAGTGCTCAGACAATTATGTGAATATCGACTATAAGTGTCATCACTCTTCTACAATTCAATATTGCACAGCTGCAACAAATGATCGATGTACTAAATGTAAAGGGTGGCATGCACCTGATGACAGTGGGTCTTTTTGCAAGACTGCAATGCGCTATGATATTATATTTGGGACAATTGTAGGATTTATAGTATTAATAGTTTTTGTACTTGTAATAGTAGTAGTGTTGTGTTACCAAATTAATCTTCACAACAAAGAAAAGAAAAAGATGATGAATGTCTGTGTTTATAATATGAAGAAATCAAATATCCCTTTGCAAAATCTTGGTGACTTTTTGTTGAGTAATAAACAAATTATTACATTTGGAGTACTCAATGAAGACAGTTTGATAGAAGTGAATGAAGAGACGCGTGAACTGCTGTGTGTTGGAAATAACACTAATTACACAATAAAAGTCCAATTCAGTGTTGTCGACAATTGCGACCAATTTTTGATACGAACTGAACCAACTTTAGTTACTCTTAAAAAGGGATTTGCATGTGAATTTGAGATCTTTATTAAACCCATTTGCAAGTGTGTTATACATTCAAATATTGTAGCCATTGCACTCGACTTGGAAACAGGAAAACAAATTGATGAAAAAATAGAAGTGAGTGCTGTGACAAAAATGACGACGCGACTGGACTACACCGAGTTGATATAAACCAAGAAACTTGGGGAATGTTCATTTGGGATTGTCTACTTGGGGGAGTTCAGATGTGACAAAGTTGCAATTAGAAAAATACAACAATCTTCTGATAATAAATCAAGTAAAAAAGAATTTGAAGATGAAGTTTCTATGTTAGACAAATTCAGAAGTGAATATATTGTTTACTTTTATGGCGCCGTGTTCATACCAAACAAAGTGTGTTTGGTCACCGAATTTGCTCAATATGGCAGTTTACAAGACTTGATGAAACATAAAACTTTAAGTGAAATTGACATAAAAATACGAATTAAATTCATGTTTGATGTTGCTATGGGCATTATGTATTTACATGAGAATGGAATCTTACACAGAGATATAAAGCCAGACAACGTTTTAATATTAATTGAATGTGTCAGAAAAAGTGAATGCAAAATTGACTGATTTTGGATCATCAAGAAACATTAATATGATGATGACGAACATGACATTTACTAAATGAGTTGGAACACCGACTTACATGGCACCCGAAGTTTTAAAACAAGAAAAGTACAAAAGACCAGCTGACATCTATTCATTTGCAATGACTATGTATGAGTGCTTTGCTTGGAAAATTGCGTATAGTGATGTTGAATTCAAATTTCCATGGAAAATCGCCGAGTTTGTTTCATTAGGAAAGCGTCTCGAGAAGCCAGATTATGTTGATGTAAAAAAAGTACAATATCATTGTGTTGTGTTGGTCACAACATCCACTTGAAAGACTAAAAATAGAAGAAGTTGTTTCAATGCTTCATGAACTATTTTAATTGGTTAATAAACTTGATTTGGTTTTTGGTAATACATTTTTATTTTATTGTGTTTTAATCAAAATATTAATTCAAAGGAAGAAGCTTGGTGCAATGAAATTTAAACTGCGTGTGCATATTATGTCAGAATGAATTTGTTTTTGACAATAAAACATGTAAAAGTTATTTTTTTATCAATACAAAACTGCGTTAGTGCACTATTTTAAACATCAAAAGCTTAATGTGCTCTGTATTAAAAAGATCTTTTCTAGAAAAGATGTGTATGTGGTGGAAAATGATATGTTGAAAAGTTATATGTGAATATGTTTATTAGCAATGTTAAAAGCTCTCAACAGTGAACCAAATAATTAAATGTGTATAACCTTCAAGAAAATGAGTTTTATAAATAAAAATAATGTTTTAAACACAAAAATAATAAACAAAATAAATAAATACACAACACAAGCCAAAAATGAAAATCATCAAAATATGAAATAATATCCAATCAAAAACAGGTCGATTAAAAAATGGCGTAGTTTAAGTGTTAATTAAATATCGTGTGGAGTTTTATATAGGCATAACCAAAAATTTGTTTAATTTATCCAACTATAAAAACAGTTGTAATGATTAAAATGTATATTTTTATTTTAGATTGAATAAATAATAATAAACATCAATTATTTATATTAATAATGTTAATAATAAAGAATCCAGTGCAATTGATGAATTATTGAGACATGCCAATAATCTCTTTAAGTGCATCTGGGCTTCCTGGCGCCTTCTTAGCGACTTTCTGGTCTTGGAAGAAGACGAAAGTAGGGAGTGAAGTGACTTGGTATTCAGCAGCATACTCAGTTGCTGTAGTTGCGTCAACCTTAAAGAACTTGAGATTTTTGTGTTCTTCAGAAAGTTTCTTCAACATTGGAGCACTCGCTTTGCATTGAGCTCATTCAGGCGAATAAAAGACTACAAGAACATTCTTGTTGTTTGCAATAGTCTCTTTGACTAAGGCGACGTCTGTTGTGTATGTCACTGGCATGTTGATTGTTAAAATTGTTTTGAAATCGGTTTTTATTGACTGCGAATTGTTCTAGCCACACTTTTGTTTTGTTTTTACATTATGGTCTTTTGGAAACAATTCAAATTGTTATTGTAATAGTATTTTTTATTATTTGTTATAAATAAAATATACATAAGTTCTATAAATATAACAATTTGAAACAAAATTGTAAAACACTAATTTCCACCGATATTCTACACATTGTTATTATATTGGTTTTTTATATTTTTATTGATATGAAGTAGTCAAAAAAATAAACGAGAATTCAAAAATCGATAGTGTATTTATTTTATTTTTTGGTAATATGTCGGGTTTTATCTTACTATACTTTTATCCTCTTTTTTGGATCTAACAAAAATTTGAGGAAAAAGTGGCTTAAATTTACACATAAAAAATAAAAATACACATTTTTTCAAACAAAAGTTGCTCAAATTTACAAAAGAAATAATCTTGAGTTGTTTCAAATAAAAAAATATCATAAATGCATTTCATTAAAACCCAATTCATGTTATTTTAGATTTGAAACAATTCAATCAAAAATTTGTCAAAAACAAACTATTTTAATAGGATAAAAAACATTTACATAAATAAACAATATTGACTTTTGTAAAACTTATTTTTTTAATTTCAACAAAAATCACATTGAAAACAAATTAATATTAATTAATTGCAATATTTAAACTTATAATCTTTAAAATGATTACATGTCTGTTATCAATAAAACAGATAAGCTCATTGTTAATTTATTAAGAGAAGGGAAATCATTTTCTTTTATTACCAAAACACTTCATGTATCACCAAACAGAGTTTCTTATAACAAAAAAATGAAAACAATGAAGAGTTAATTTCAAAAACTATAGGCAGACCTTCAATTATGACACAACAAAAAATAATAACTTTGATCAAAAAAACTTCTATTAATCCAGAATCAACGTGTTGTGATTTGGCTAAATGTATAAATGTATCAAAATCAACAATTCAAAGATACAGAAAAATAAACGGGTTTAAATATGGCAAACTAAAGAAATCTCCATTTTTAACAAAAGTTAACATTAATAAAAGATTAAATTTTTGCAAAAAGGCGGTACTAAAGAAAAATTATAAAAAATGGAAAGAGGCTATTATAAGTGATGAGTCGAGATTTGGATTGTTTTCTGATAATGGAAACTGTTGGTATCACAAAAGCAGGAAAATGAGATATAACAGAATAAATTCATTTAATATTGGAAATCAAACTTTACTTATTAAAAAGAACAATAAGATTTTTAAATCAATGTTTTTAACACTTCCAAAACACAACGATTCATTGATGGTTTGGGGAGCAATCGGAAATAATTACAAATCACAGATGTTACTATGTGACAACAGACTTAATGCAATTGGCTATCAACACATGCTTGAAAGTAATAAAGTGTTTGATGATATTAGACGAGAACGCAACAAACAAATAGTCTATTTCCAACAAGATGGTGCCAAGCCACACACAGGAAAAACGACATTGAATTTTTTGGAGAACAATAAAGTGAGATTGACTGGGTGGCCTCCTTCAAGTCCAGATTTATCACCAATTGAAAACGTTTGGTCGATACTTGAAAATAGAATTAGAAAAAAGAAAAAATATTTTAAAAACAAAAAGAGTTTGTTTAGAGTGCTGAAGAAAGAATGGGAATCGATACCAATGGATACAATTAACAATTTAATGCAATCGATGGAAAAAAGATTTTTTTTGTATTCAAGAAAAAGGTAAATTCATTGGCCATCTTCTTTAAAAAAGTTGCTCGAGAAAAAAAGTGTTATTACATAAATTGTATCTTATTTTTACGTGTTTTTAATTAAGATTTTCAACAATTAATGGTTTTAATTTTTGAAAAAAGTTGATATTGAAATATAAATAGATTACGTAGTTTTCCCAAAACATTATGATAAAAATAGACCAAAATATTTTGGGGTACTATCGACTTTTGGGAAACAGTTTATAACAACATTAATATTACATTTTCAATTGGAGTTTCAATAACTTATTTATTACAATCGACAACGATTTGGCACTTTAAAAAAGTGTTCTTATATCAAATTCTATCACCAAATATCTGCGACAACAAAATATATGAATATTTTTCTTTTTACAATTAAATAATTTAATGTTATTAAATTATTAAAAACAAAATTTCTTATTTTGTTATTGAATCAATTTAATAAAAATATCTATAATATAAGAATTAATAAACTCATATTAAAACAACAATAATGACTACATAAAGCGTCACAATAACTTTTCAAGCATTTCTTGTAATGTTCATAAATTATATTGTGAACGTTTCTTATTGTTTTGAAATATTATAATTATTTAATAATATTATATTTTACAGTAACACGAAAAACCTGTCGCTAAGATTATTATAGTAAAAAAATATAATAAAAAAACTAGAAATGTACTAAGATTAAACCCGAATAAAATATTTGATTTTCATCCTTTTATCCGATAATTTTATCCGTTTCAATTGATTTTCTTCAATAATAATTTTTTACAATTCCTTTAAAAATGAAATAAGGTGAGTGGAACAAAAAGAACTCACAAATAAAATGAGCATGAACAACGTCAGAAGAGATGGAGAGAAAAAGGATGACATGAAACTAAGGTGTGAGAAAGACTCTCTGATGAGTCGGTTCATTGACTATGCATTTTTGGGAGGGAAAATGGAGGGAATTGACCAGAGAGGACAAATATACTTAATGAAGTCACTGACTTCATCAGTCCCTTGGGACCAAATTACAAATGATGATTTGGGGAAAGTGTTTGGAGTAAGTGGTGCGACAATCTCGACGCAGTCAATGCAAATGGAGTTGGAAATGGAGTACGGACCTCGGAAAAATGGGCGACCACCCCCTTTAAACGAGGAACAGAAGAAGGCGTTATTGTTGGAAGTGTCTGGTTGTATTGAAAGGGAGCAGGCGGTAACAGTACAGTACTTACAATTCTTCTTGGAGAAACAATTTGGAGAATGTTTTAAACGCGAGGCAATTTTGTATATACTCAAGAAGGTGGGATTCATTTTGAGGTGGGCATTCCCTGACGAAACAAAACGCCTTGAGATACAAGCACAGAGTTTTGTTGATTATTTTATTGGTCTTTCGAAGACTGTATCGGGTGTCAGAAGGTGCCTTTGTTTCAATCTAGACGAATCTGGATATCAAAAATGGGCTGACCGCAAAAAGCTCAAAGTCTTGTGGAATAAAGATTATATCAAAGTGCTGAAAGTTGGAGTTCAACGTAATGTCAGAAGAAGCACCTTTCTCGCTTGTATCAGCGGAGAAGGACCAATTCCAGGAATTCTAATCACTCCGACCTCAACTTGTACTCAAACGCTTGTTAATTCTGGGCTTCTTGGCCATGTACTTTTAACAAAAACAGAGACCGGATTCATAAACAAATCAATTTTTATGGGTTGGGTCTTTTCCGTGTTTATCCCGAAAATTTACGAGAAACGAATGGAACTCGGAGTTGGTATTTATGAAAAAGCTGTTTTGCTTATTGATTCGTGTTCTTGCCATGATGTTGAAGAGCTAAGGAAAGTGCTTGAGGTCCACAACATCATTTTGGTGCCTCTTGTTCCGCACGCATCCCATGTTCTTCAACCTTTGGACATTGGGGTGTTTGCGGTTCAAAAAGGTATTATTTGAAATGCTCAGGTTGTAGAGGACAAAGAGGACAAAGAGGATATGCATGATTCTCTTGGAGGAAATGAAAAGAAAGACAAAGGTGAAGGAATTGATGGCGAGGTGGATGAATGAAAAATTGGGAAAAAGAGGAAAGTGAAGTGAAAGTGAATCGATTTGAAAAGTACCAAATTGAGATACTGACCGTTTTCCACAAGTCGACTTCAATTGTATCGTGCTCTTCGGCTTTTAAGGGTGCGGGTATAACATTCAAATACGACTCGGAAAAGAAAGAGTACTTTTGTCAAGTTGATCCCTTCAAGTGTAAAAGATTGAGGGAAGAATTCCCTCTCCTTTTCAAGGATCTGAATTTTATTTCCTTTTTTAGTTCAATAACTCCAATAAAACTAAAAAGAAGGTTTAAATATGAAGACCTTCCAACTCCTAGGGTTTCTATAACAGCTATTAAAGTCTGTGAACTGAAAAAAACAGACTCATCAAACAAACGATCTAAACATCGAAGACGAAGTACAATTGTTGTTAGACTGCGAAGTCGACGAACAAATCAACCAAGAAAGTCTGTCTAAAATACGTTTGTATTTGAAGCCCGAACCCCCCAAACCCAAATCTACAAGAGGAAGGAAAAAAGGCAGTAAGAACAAGACTCCTGAAGAAAAATCAATATTAGAAAAGAAACCAAAAAACCCAAGAGGTCGACCCCGAAAAGCAAATTAACTCATTTTTTGTTATTCCCTTTTGTTATTCCCTTTTGTTATTCATTTTTGTTATTCATTTTTGTTATTCATTTTTGTTATATATAACATAATAATAACATTTTGATGAAAAATACCAATTAATTTATTCGTTTTTTTCAAGACAGGTTTTTTCGAACGAGACACCTTTTTGTTATGACTGTATAATTTTTAGTTGAATTTACTGGAAATATTTTAAAACTAAAAATATAATTAAAATAAATTAAATTTATAGATATTTATTATAAATAAATTAATACTATAATCTAGTTTGATTAATTAAACATATTTAATTACTTTTGTATGTTATTCAAACAATTATAAAAATGTCATTATTAACAAATTTGGTGGTTTTCTTTAAATATTTAGAAATATTAACTCTATTATTAGTATTAACTTAACACAAAAATGATTTTATTGAAAAAGACACGCTTTTCTTTAAAAATAACAAAAATACACTGC